TTTGCTTTACCAGTGAGCTGCTCCTCAAGGAGATGGGAATGACTGGATTGCGGTCAGGGATCAACAGAGCTGCCTGCCTTGCTGGATCCTCCTTTGGGGATGGGCTAAAGGGACTGTCATACAAGTATCTGTTTCTCCGAATTTGCCACTACACCACTGCTGGCCATGAGGCAGTGTGAGTTGGCGCTATGGGGCCATGCCTTAACTTTCCTTGTTCCCAAGAGGCAACTGATTGTGCCTGGGCCTAAAGGGGGCACCTGGCAGCTCTCAGTAAGGAATGGCAGAAAGTTTTGCAGAGCCGTATCACTTCATCAAGCACTACCCATCTGCTTTTGTCAAACTGTCCATTCTGCTCTCCCTGCCACTCAAAACACAGTGCTGCTATATTAGCTGTCTTACCCTCGCGTTTATTTTGTGTCCTGTATCCCTGAAGTGTCAAGGGATACAACGTCTTCTCCTTTACTGGCAGACTAGGCTAGGAATGTGTATGTTTGTAGAGCCAGTGTGGTGTAGTGGTTAACAGCACGAAACGGAGACGCAGGCAATCTGGGTTCAAGTCCCCGCTCAGCCATGGAGCCCACCGGGTGACTTTGGGCCTGTCACAAACTCTCAGCCCAACCTACCCCACAGGGTTGTTGTTGTGGGGGAGAAGATTGAGAGCAGCAGGAGGAGAATGATGTAAGCCACTTTGAGTCCATTGTAAATAAATAAATAAATCCCAGTCTGACTCAGATGTGGTCTATCATGATGGACAGAAAGATGGAGAGAGAAATGGAGCTCCAGGGCTTGAATGTTCTCAGCTTGCCTGTGTAGGTGGTCCTACAGCCTTACCCTGGAGTGACTTCTGGTCTGGATGAAGGTGCCTCCCCTGCATGGAGAGCTTGCTGCAGGCCTGGCCTGAGCTGCCCTGTGGCCTGAAGCAGAGAGCATGCCACGTGCTGCCGCCACACAACTCTCCCTCCCTGCCACCGCCAGACCCAGCTGGAGAACGCCCCGCCTCTCCTCTGCCACCGCACGCGGACTCTCCTGGCTGGGGCTGGCGGTGGCACACTGGGAAGTTTGGCATGCTGACGGGGAGGGTTGAAAGCTGTCCACACTGGGCTTTTGGGAGCTCCCACCTCATGGCCGAGGTCTCACTAGGTGTCAGCCACTGGTCACGAACTCACAAGAGCCCCACAGCAGCAGTGGCTGCTCCAAACGGTCCCCTGTCCACTTTCTTGCTATGGCCAGCAAGTGGCTGGCAGACAAGCCTCTCTCGAGCCCCCGCTGGCAGTGGCAGCGGGCTCTGTGGAGTGATAGTGAGGAGCAGGGTGATTTGCTGCTCCTCTTGCTCTGCCGGTGCCTCACTCTGCTTCACCAGTGGGCTGGCCCTGGCTTGCTGGGGAAGAGGCTTGTGGCTGGATTGCCCCAGCATGCCAGGATTTCTGCTATTTAGTTCTGAAAAAGTAGCTGCTCTTCAGCCAGAGCTCCCAGAATGCTTTATACTGAAGATTTCTTTAGTGTCATTCAAAACCATTAAAACAGGAAGCATGTTAGACACAATTTACTGTGCAAAGATCCAAATAAAACTAACTAATCTTTAACCTGAGCAATGATGAATACTTTCCCCCAGCAGCAGCAAGAAAACTCAAGATGGTGACAACTGAGCTACACTGGGGAGGGAACTCCAACCACAGGGCATCATTACTAAGGTCCCTTCCAGCCACCTTGCATCTGGGTGGGAGGAGGATTTTAAGAAAGGCCTCTATTTTCATAGAGGACTATTTTCATAACTAGTAGGAGGTGGTTCAGGATGAAGCCATGGACAGAGTTTGACTTGCACTCTGAAATGAGCCAGTTTAGCTGTTACACAGAAACATAGAAACAGAGCGAGTCAGAAGGGGCCTCCCGGGCCATCTAGTCTGACCTCCGGCGCCAGCCGGCTCTGCTCACGACATGCCCACCATGTGCATGTCCAGCCTATCTTTGAACACCCCCACCGATGGGGCCTCAACGACCTCCTGTGTAAGTCCTTCTATACCCTCGGGGTCCTAACTATCAGGAAATGCATCTAAATGGAACCTTGGCTCCCTGAGCTTTGCTCTGTTGGAGCGCATCCTGCCTGTTGCGAAGCTATGGAGATGTGGTCTTCACTCCTGGTCCTGATGGATAAACCAGCCATTGTATTTTGCAGTATTTTCTAAATGATCATCACAGACCTGGACAACCCATTGCAATAATCCACACAGAATATTACCAGAGCATGGATTGCTTTGGCCAATCTTTCTCAATTCAGAAGCCACAGCTGATTAAAGACACAAGGCTGGTCCTCCAAATACCCACAGATAGTTATCTTCTAGAATGGATACGCACAACCTTCTTGCATCGAGGGTCAGCTTGATGAACTGAAATTGTGCCACAAAAACTCTTTTCCAGTCCTTACTGTGAGCAACCAGGTGCCACCTTTAGGTACAGGCATATCCAGATGCCTCTTAGGAGCAAGGACAGTGAAGGTTCGGGCCCATAGTACCCACTCACATTGCCCCATGGCCAGCAGTGGTGTAGGGACAAATTTGGAGAAGCAGGTGCTCACACAACAGTTCCTGTAGACCAGCTCCAGGTCCGAGGGTCAAGGGCTGCACACACACTTCCATACTGGTGGACTGCACAGCAATGGGACAAGTGCAATGTACAGCAGGATGACTGGGGAGATACGGAGGCGGCTGGACCTGCAGTTAAGGCCTGACTGGGGGTAGGGGGATGTGCACTCCTGTCTCGGAGGAGCAACCCCACCCAGAGACTGTTGCAGAGAGTGGCTTAGCACCAGCACAGCCTTCTCTGCGTTTCACCAGGAGAAAACCATCTAGTGGGGACCCTTCATCTCACCTGACCTTGCTTCACCATTCCATGTAAATATTAAACACCATGGAAGACTAAACAGAATCTGGCAGAACACATTTCCACTTTAGTTCTCCAGTTCCATTTTCTGGAAATGGCCACCCAGAAGGGAAAGGTGCTACCAAAGCACAGTACAACTGTACTCTGTGACAGTAACGACCAGCGACTTGAAGTTAGTGCTCGTGTGTTGCTGACAGAAAGTCACGTAGGGACCATTTGGTCCTACCTAAATGGGCATGGTTCCACCATCAGAGGACTAGACATTTAGCAATGATTTATCATGAAATGTTAAGCTTGCCCTCTGGCCATGTTGTAAAAATCAAGATGAAAGCTGAGAACTTAAGTACAAAGGATGTTTTTATTGACATTGTAAGAAACATTGTACTCCTCGTTACAAAAGGGCTAACTGGTTCTGAAAGCCTAGGTACAGTTGATATGTACACAGTGCTACAGACCCTTCAGGCTGATCTAAGGCTTGGAGAACATCAGATCATAAATGAAAGTTTATCAAATGAAGACCACTAAAGGTCTATCACATCTGAACACTATTCCTACTGTATGTAAATGTATTTACACTTTTTTTTAAAAAAAGAGATTACACTTTTTATAAAAGTTTAAAAAAAAAGCTGAGGTGAAAAAAATGAACTTATGTTTTTATCTTACACATCTGCAGACTTGACAACAGTTAACTTTCCCAAAGAGGACATCCAATTCCTACATGGACAATGACACATTAATGCCCAAGATTTACAAGACAGTATTCAGATAGTCTTTCTTAACAGTGGTATGTGCTATCATTATGGTAAGCATAGCTTTAGAGCTAAAATTTGGCACTATTTCTTGTGTCCCCCTCCTTTTTTACCAGATCAATTCAAAATAAGGCACATCCATTGTGGGAATAGAAACACTGTTGTTTTTTAATTGGACAGGTCTAAGTGTATAGATTGTAGGAGGACTAGCCTATGATGTATCCGATCTCCTCTTAGAACAACTGAAAAAGGAACTCACATTTGAGACAGAAATACCAAAGCTCAGAAACCAACTTTTAATGCATAGTACCGTATCAAGACTTCCCTTTAAGTTGAAACTGTAATACTGATGTACAAAGTCCATAGCATGGGGATCCAAGCCATTCTGGAATGCTCCTTCCCACCTAGACACATCTATTCAAAAGTAAACCTTGATTATCTCAAGAGGGCTTACTTTCTACTAAGTATTCTTAAGATTTCCATATTAGGTATACCCTGACATCCCTTTTGTACATTCAACGGTACTTGCTTGTTTGCAACTGATAGCACAAGATAATGTCGCAGAGAAATGGGGAGGCAGAGTTCCACTGAAGCAAAGTTAAAATGCCTTGTCCAAGTGCAAGCCAGAGGGATACCTTTAAGCATAAACAACTGAATCACTACCCTTACACCACTAGAGACAGGTCTTCACCAGTTGAAAGAAAGGGTTTATAGCAACCTTCCCCAACCTGGCAACCTCTAGATGCGTTGAACTGCAATTCCCAGCATGGCCTATTGCAGCTTCTCCCAGCCTGCCAACTTCTGGATGTCAAAGTTCATCTCCCATCCAGCATAGGCTACAAGTGTTCCCTGACTCCCAGATGTTGGGAATACAACCTCCAGTCACCTGGCTGGAGAGCGTTAGATTCTAGCACTGTTTGCCTGTCTCAGTGAAGGTTGCTGGCATTAAAAAATCGGTGATATAAATAAAGATTTATTCTGGAAATAGACTTTCCTATTCCTCCCTTTCCAATGGTAGATGCTCCAGCTCCCTAAAAACCTGACATGGCGTTAGGGGATCCTGCTAAATGCAGCGAGTGCTCATACGTGGGGAGGAGGAGGCAGGATCATCACAACGTGGGTGGAACGACCTACTGCAAGACGGAGAAAACTTCTCCTGGAACCCCACCCCCCACCCTGCATCCAACCTACTGACTGGGATCTGGTGCCAACCTCTCTTGCCCCCTTAAAATCCAAAGAGCCCAGTGTGCACAGAGGCACTTGCCAAACTTCCAGCCTTGATCCACACAGGCCAAGATGTGGGTGCTGATGTGCTTGGCAAGGCATGTGCTTGGCTGAGCTGGTAATGATTCAGGAATTCACCCTTGCACTTCCACTACTGCAAAGTACCATAATGAGCAATATTTTTGACAGTAATGGAAAGGTCATAAAAATGAAGGTGTCTGGTTTTCACTGGGCTCTGCTGAGTAGGATGGCGATGGTGAGGATAAAGAAACATGGATCTAAACCTGCAGGGTACTGTACCTGTTTTTACTCAGAGTCAGTTGGAACAGTAGGGAAAATCATCCTCCCCAAGTATCAGCTGCTAGAACTTAATACTCAACACATCATCTGTAAGCAAACATTGCTCCATACAGGCACTGTAATGCCTGAAGACACTACAATAATTCCTTTTTTAAGATGGCTGCAATGACAATTTCTTTGAACTGAGAAAGCAGGACTGTATTATCTTGGCCTAAGTGCAGCCTTGATCATGTTTAGGGTAGATCCATTGCAGGTTGCAGTAAGACTACTTTAAGTCTGGACCCAACCCATGGCAAGTAACGTTAATAATAAGAGGGATGAGCCCAGTTCCACAGAGAATCTTTTCGCTAGTGCCTGACAAGAATGTGTGCCACTGTTCCCTAAATTCTCCACACGACGAGGTCAGAATCCACGTGGCGATGTGCCTTCAAATCTTACAGCCCACATATATGGTTCCACCAGGCAAATGTGTTTTTCGGCAGTCTCATGGCATGTGGGCTGGCTGAATTGCAAATAGATTGGGCTTTACTGGAAGAGAAACTACTCTGCAAAAATTTCATTCCCACTATCTCAGCCAACAGGACAAAATCAGGAAGGTTCAGATACAGTACAGTAACATCTCCTGAATCCTAAACATTAGAAATCCAGTGCAGGAATGGTGGCACTCACTGTAATTTTGCTGTGGTTGATAGCTGAAGGAATAACACTGCTATTTAACTCTACCAAAGTCTGCCTTTCGAAGCCCAGCAGCTCTAAAGTGGTTTGAGTGAAATGAAATCAATGGATTTAATTGTGCTTCATTTTGTGCTGGATTGTACAATAAGCCCACAAGCTGATAATGCAAAGGAACATATAGAATAGTTGTAAGTTTTTCTCTGAATTGATTCCCTGCCTATATTGTGGGCCATTAAGAGGCAGAGTTCATTGCCACAGAATATGCAAAGTTCAGAGCCAAAATCCAACAAAATTAGGTAAATCAACCTGAGCCCATTGAAATAAATGAATCTAATTGTGCTTAATTTTGTGTTGGATTGAGCAATAGGACTGAAGAAAGAACCAAGGTAACAGTGAAGAGTGTGAAAGCAGGAGATAAGTAAACTGGCCTAAATACTAGGCCAATTCAAACTGTTGAAACTCAGCATGGAACATTCAGAACAGGCCATATCTTAGACGTAACACTGTAACCTCTGGGCAAAACCTCATAAGAGTAAATAGCATCTATTCTAATTGGGATATAATCACACAGTATTGGTGTTACTGAACTCGAGATGGTGTAGTGAATTCAGAGGCAAAACCCCTACCCTACAGAAACACCTAATTATCAAAGAAATCGCAAAATATATCACATGATCTACATTCTGGGCAATGCCCAGTTTGTAGATTGGGCATTGTTAGCATAAGGTAGGGGTCTCTGTGATTGCCTTCCCCTTCATCCAGCTTCTCTGCTTTGAAGATGCCTGGATAGATCATTTCTGCTTCTGCTCTTGAAGCATGCTGGTGTGACTGGTTGAGGCAGGGGCGAGCAGAAGGTACATCTCCATGTTTTTGACTTCCACTCCCAGAAACCCGACTGCAGGCCAATGGTCAAGAATGCTGAGAGTTAGTCCAAAACATCTTGGTATCTACTTTCTGTACCTACCTGCATGAAGCAGGAGAAGGCAGGTAAGTGGAGGCTCTTACATTGAGATATGTAAGTGGGAATTGGTCAGTCTTGCCTCTTTTTAAGCCATGAGTGGCGCTTCCAATTACTGACAGGAGACATTGATAGCAGCATTACAAGCAGATTACCGTGAGACGTTGGCCCTATGTCTAAGATCTGTGGAATCCAATGGGATTCTGGAAAGCCTGTGCTTATAATGAGCTGAACATTTTGACCAATAGACAATGTGAGCTTCTAAGCCCTTAGAGCTATGCACATTGTCCTGAAGTCAATGACAAACATGTTGAACCAAACCTCATTTCAAAGTGCAAGTTGTGTTTAAACTTAAGTCTTAGACAAGGAGGCATCTAATAAAATCGGAATTATACTGATGCATGTTCAAGTTAATCCCCATTTTGCAACAACTCTATGAGAAGATTATGATCATGGCAGTTTGAAAAGCCACACCAATTTCTGACACAAAGAAGAGCAGCCAGCTGTTTTGTAATTACATTCCTTTAGAACTTCTGTTTTTGCTAGGGATATGCTCCAGATCTAATTACTTGTACGTTCTTCCTTTATTCTAGAGAAGCCGTTTCCAACTTGTGCTCCAGACAGGCGCAGCACCCATAATGTGTGATGCACAGAGGCCACGATGATGAAACTGGAGTTCCTCCGGTGCCCATTCACAGGCACCGCAGTAAATTTTCTGAGATGGTTCACTGAAAGGCAGGGTGTTCATTCTTACTGATCCTCCCCACATGTAACCAATGTGGCACCAGGCCAACCCACAGTTCGCACAGGACCATGATGAAGCCCGAGAGGACAGGACAGCATGAACTGGCCACGCACCCTAGAACAGCTTTCCCTAACCTGATGCCCTCCAGACGTGTTGGACTACACTTCCCATCATTCCCTGCCAACTGAGAGTTGTGGCTCAACACATCCAGGAGGAGCTGTAGTCCAATACATCCAGCACATTCACAGGGTTCAGGAAGGCTGCTCCAGAAGACGGCTTAGAAAATGCAACCGACAAGCTGACTGGACGAGAGTTTGTTGAAGGCAGACGGCTTGCAAGCGTAGAGCAACAGAAATGACATCGCAAGCATATGCAATGTTGATGGTATTCATCTTGCTTCAAACCATTTTTGTCCGAGGGAGTTTGCATGGGAGCAGTGCGAAGAGGCTGGAAGCCAGAATGCCAGCTGGAAATAGATGCTCAGTTGTTGGGCCCACATGTTAAAAACTGGCTGTAGAAGAGCTTGGGGAACAACCATGCAAGACTGCATTTCCTTTCGAGTAGCAATAAGCTGTGACATAAATCCATCAGACCTTTCTCAAAAATAAACCAACATGCACTTCACACATTTACACTGGTTTACAATTACAAAAAATAAAACAAAAAGAAGAGCCATACAAACATTAAAAATTAAAAAAAGGGGGAACCGTGGGTGTAACAATACTGATTCAAAATTGAAACGGAAGACAGTTTCTCCCTAGAACACTTTAGGGTTTTTCAGAGTCCTTATTCCATAAAAGGAATATACTTGAAACACATCCCATTTAGGCTGAGATGAGACTGCTAAAGTACTTAAAACAAATAAAAAAGGAATTATTTTTTAAAATCTTTCATCTCCTAAGTTGTTTAGGTCTATTGCATAACAGCAAGAAACTTGCTTTCTTCTGCAAGTGAGGTCAACAAGGAATTCATATCCCCAATAGCCATGTTGGTTGTGCTTATGGGCATAGCCGGGAATGTAAGAGACGCTCGGGGAGTGCTAAGACGGGAGGAATTGCGGGAGAGATTCTGAATGATGCTGGGACTGAGGGCTCCTGAAATTAAGCTGGCATGGTCGCCATCATCTATGATGGCATCAAAATCAATCTGCACCCCTTCAAGGCTGCTGGTGTCAAGGCTGTCAACTGTGCTAGTCACCTGGTTAGCCCCTGGGGAGAGAAGCTCTGATGAATTTGCATCACCAGTCCCCTGCAGCAGGCAGTTGGCTTCTGAACCGGGGAAAGTGCCGGTTTTCAGAGCTGGCTGGCTAAACCCTGTGGTTTGGTCATACAACTGACCAGAGTAATTCTGCAGATTAGAGCAGAACTGCTGCAACTGACCTTGAGACTCTACCTTGATGCCATTGACCCTGTGTGGCTGGTGGGCATCCCGTACATGTCCTTGTGGCCGGCCCAAGCTATTCCTTAGCATACTTTGCCATCGGCCCACACAGTGGCTGGCACAGGGCTGGTAACCTTTGGCCATTGCTGGACCTGATGGCTGACTCCCAGTATTTTGACACAGTGGCAGACAGCTCTGTGGCCCTTGATACAGACTGGGTTGTGAAGAAGCTTGTTCTATCATCATTTTGTTGGAATTATTTATGTCTTCATAGTGAGTGACTTCATCTACTGACTGATTGTGCAGGTACTCCTGGACAACCGCGTTTCTGTTCTGCATCCTGTTACTTGGATTGGCAGATTGCTCATCTGATACCACAGGGCAGCCAAAATTTTGCTGGTTCCCATTAGCTAGCATGAAATTGTTTCTCAGTTTCTGTCCTTGAACCAACAAGTCACAGGTATTGTCCACTGGTTGTCTACCAATAGTTTCACCATATAGCTGTGCTTTATTGGACTGTAGGTGGTAAGAATGACTGGTATCACTGCTGTTCATGATTGTGTTCTGTTGTAAACTGCAAGAACCATTATTGTCTAAAAGATGCTGGTAGCCATTTTGTTGGGTCACACCATTACTTTCCATCCCATGCTGATGCTGTTGGACAATCATGTTGTTATAGAGACCTAAGGCTTGAGTGTGGTGGATCAGGGACCGTTGGCCACATTTTAATTTTAATGGAGACAAGTCGGAACTTCCTGAGCTCACTTCATTCCACTGAATTGGCAGATCATTTTTACTGGCCTCAGAGTTGTTCAGTGGAGGGGACTGGTCAAAGGTGTTGCTGTTCCCCACTGCTGAACTATGATGTCCTTTGTTGTTGTCTAGTCCACCACTGGGCACTTGATTGTACACACCCTGATTCTGGGAATTCAAATACTGGACCACATCATCTGGCAGAAAATCCTCATCATTCAGGTTGCCATCTCCTTCCATGGTAGCAGCTTCCATAGCCACATTTTCAGAGATACACGGGGGACAAGGGGAACAGAAGTTGCGGAACAAGCCACCATCAGAGCGGGTGTAGTTTTGAAGGATGAAATTCCGCCTTTCCATGGATGGAGCCAAAGCTGGAGGGTTAAAGCTATTGAGACTGCTGAAACGCTGCACTCTGGGAAAAGAAAGGCTATCAGAGACTGGTCTCACAGGATCGCTGGCTCTCCTTGTGCCATTCCCCAACACATCATGAGATAGTAAGTGTCTCCTGTTGTAACCGTTTGTCCCACCATCACTACATCTTCGAGGAGAATTCACTGGAGGCAGTGGTGACAACCCAGACTCCCTACCATCACACAAAAGTGCCATTCTTGTTTTCAAGCTCATCCTCTCCATATTAGGCAGTGGTGTTGGTGGGGGCCCACCAGTGGCTGCTGCGTATTTTGCTTTCAGCCTATATTGCTGGGCAGGGGTGAGGCTGAGAAGACCTGGCAAGCCATCACACTGGCTGACTTCACTGGACCGCCTGGAGGCATCAGTTGAGATGGGATCGTAAGAATCAGCAACACTGACGTTCTGGAGCCTCCCCTCACCCTGGGAAGCATCACTAGATCTCCGACTGGAAAAACAGGGTGAAATCCCAGAGGATCTGCGGCTGCTCATGTAGGCTGAGCTGATTGTGCTGGTATTGCTGTCCCTTCTGTTCAGCATGTTTAGCACAGTAATGTCCATGTTTGTGAGTTCATTTTTGTTGGTTACGATAGTCATGTTTCCTCCTACACCGCAGCTGTTGTTTGACTGAGTACCTGGAAAATACATTCGATCAGAAAACATATAGAATTAACAACTGATCAGTTGAAAGGCATGGCATGCCTATAAAGCTAAGCCATGGCTTGTGCTAATCATAGTTCATGGATTTAGCCATGAATTGTCTTGCATATATGCAAACAAATAGTGGATCATTAGCCCTATTTCTGGCTTGTTTCTCTCTTGTTCATTTTGCAAGCCTTCACGATAGCTTCATTTTCACCCTGCTCTTGCTGGGTGCTTCTGTTTCAGGGTGGACAGCAGCACAAATAAACCAGGGATAAGCCAGAGTTCTGGATTTAGACATCACAACAAGCCATGGTTTAAACAAGACAGACTTTGTAATCTAGCAACAAATCATGGAGTGTTCCACATGATCAGCTGCATGCCAGGTGGTTTTTGAATATTCAAGCTGTGGCATTTCATGTTGTCTGATCCCACACACAGATTAAATAATTTCCACAAATTTCAAAATGGCAGAGACAGCAACCCAACATGATGGGCTGTGGTAATTGGGTAAACTATGTTCTGTGGGTCTGTCTGTGGAAGTGCCAGACAAAGGTCCATGCATCTTCCAGCAAATGTCCAGGTGCTTCATCATAATGCAACAGGATGAAGCACACACACAACTCTATGTTGTATTGAGGTCATGTACTGGCCCAGGTCTCACTGTGGTATGAACCTACAGCTGGGCTGTTCTAGTTCAGAATTCATGTGGGGGCTCATATGACAGAATGCTATAATACCCTTATAGAAAAAGATTTTCACCACATAGAAAACTAGCATGTTAAGGAGAACCTAGACTATCATAGAATCATAGACTAGAACACTTCTCTCTGCTATCTGCTGAGGGTATATTTTGTACACAAAAGAATTTTACCTGGGGAATGCACACCAGCAGTTTGAGGACCTTACTAAGAACTAGGTCTAAAAACAAATTGTCCTATTTACTTTTTGTGGCAGTCCACTACGAACACTCAGCCTGTTCTTATGCATGGCTTTTAGTGTATTACAGTCTAAATCAAACCAGACTTTGAGAGACACAAGCCAAAATGGCAAAATATGTAAATCTGGAACTTATTTGGGGTAATTTAAAAATCACTCTTAAATATGATTTGCACAGTGTTCAAAACACTATTGCCTTTCTTTCATAAAAATCAACAAGGATTATTATTAATATTTTTTACTTTTATGTAGTTCCCTTTATTGGAATGAACTTAAGCCAGGCAAAGAAATACCAGAGATATTTTGTATGGATCACTGCAGTTGAATGTATTATGCAACAAAGCAGAGAGGAAAAATACTGGGCAAAATCCTTCTGTTGCAAAATAGTGATGAGACCTCCAGGACTCAATGTGCTTTGAATAGGATTGGTTACCTAACTCCATTTCTATTTGACACCAACACATAAACATACTGGACCAAACCCCAGGAACTTCCTGTATCTTCCCCTGACCGAAGTAACTATAGATTAATTTTCTGCCTGATGTGATACAAGACAGTCACCTGAAATACAGTATCATGAGTCCATTAACCTTACTAATTTCATACTGCAATCTAAAACACACTCACTCAGAAGTTAAGTCCCATTTTCAATGAGGCTTACACCCAGGTAAGAGGGCACAGCCTTAATTACGCCACTGATTTATCAACTCATTTGAAATACATGAGCACATGGCTAAAACCACAGTTCAGCAAAGAAACATACTTTGCTTTTAGGTGATAGAACACATGTGTCATAAGATGCATGCATCACTCCTTCTTGTGAAAGAGAAACAGGGAATTCTCCCCTTAATCTGGTATTTGTCATCTGCAGTTTTCATATGTAATGACACCTTATAAAACCACTGCCTAATATTCCTTTACTCAATTCATCTGGATCAAAACTTAATGAAATAATGTACCATGGGTGAAGCCCATGAGTAGTGTGATGGAATATTCAAACTTGCCATCTCCACCTGAAGTGGTACAGTCCAGCCAGAGAAACACATGATCTATGCTGAGAATCTTGTTTAGGTCTGGCTTTGTCAAAGGAAAGGCCTATGAGTCTTGCATGATTTGGTTTAAAGTTTGGCAGACTTTCTATTCAACTTCAGGTTATTCTAAATTCCTCCTCTACAAATGCCAAGTTCAGAAGCTGGATGTAGAAATAAGAAGATGTTAAATAAGCACATCTCACCATTTCCTATGAGAGGTGGCAAGGTGGGGGCTTTGGAAGGTGGAATGGGGTTCAGTCTTGGAAGCACTCCATTGATTTGATTCAATCTTTCTAGCTTGACTTGCTCCATCCATTTGGTCTCTGTCATATGCCTCCTGGCCTGCAAGCCAAGAGCTGTGGTTGCTGTGGAAATGGTAGAGTCCATGATAGGGGTTTCATCTATGACACTGAGGTCTCCTACACTACCTCTATTGGTCAGATTAAGCTCGATCCCATTGGTGGAATAGTTGCTGATGGGGGACTGTTCGCTGCTGCATGCAGACTGACCACCAGGGCTTGGCTGAGATGTCTGTTTGGAGGAGGTAAAAGATATAGAGAAAAAAATCTGATTAGAAGCAGAATACACCTTGGATTCATTATACATCTTCTTCCCCATATGCCCTCCCGACCCCTAAGATCGGCAGCAGAGGCCCTGCTCTGGGAACCTTCCTTGAAGGTTAGAAGAGAACATAGTCAGAGGAGGACCTTCTCTGCGGTGGCGCCCAGGCTATGGAATGCACTCCCCAGAGAGGTCCACCTGGCGCCGTCTTTATATGTTTTTCAGCGCCAGGTTAAGACCTTTTTATTTAACCAATATTTTAATGATAATTTTAATTATTATTAGAATTAATTATTTTAATCTAACTTATTAATTTTATATATTTCAGTCATGGTATATCTAATTTATTATTGTTTAGGATACAGATGCTATTATTTATTGTTGTATCTATAGATTGTTGTGAGCCGTCCAGAGACGGAAGTGATTGGACAGCCTAGAAAAATCCCAAATACATAAATAAATAAATAGTGGGAGAAATGTAGGGTAGGATCTGAACAAATAAATAACATGGTCACTAACAATGTGGAGAAATAAACGAACAATTCACAATTAAGGAAAGCCTTACATGGTCAGACTCATGGTCCATCTAGCCCAGTGTCATACTGTTGAGAGGTCGATACAGAAAATTATACAATTACACAAAGTAGGCGCAAAAACCTCCTATCTCACCCAATTTGCTTTAAGTATCCAAAATTAAAGTTTTTTAGGGTGCACTCTGTAATAGAATATATGTACAATTATCTGGACTGGCATTTCTGGAGTCATGTCTTCATTACACCAATACTATACACGTAGAAAACCTCTTCTGGAAGTGAAGGAAGTTTCACAAGCTGTCTTTCATATGGCATAAATATCTGCTGTTTTAAGGAAAACATTCTTCTCTGCCAAAAGTAGCTCTTTGGATGCTAGCCAGTATATTGAGCTGCAGCTGAACAGCAAATTACACACACACAAGGGTGCACGCACGCACAAACACAGACAAGCTGTCTAATCTCCAAAGAGTGACCAAAGATTCAGAATCTTTTCTCATGTCAGTTCTGCATACTAAAGTGCACAGATGGCAGAACAAGCTAGATGATAGGCACAATCTTTTGCATGTCTAGACAAGAAGTCCTACAACTCCCAGCATTCCCTAGACAGTCATGCTAACAGGAACATGCTGGGAGTTGTAGGACTTTTTTCTTTCTAAACATGCATAGGATCTGCCAAAAGGGAATCCTAGTAGCTCTGTGCTGCTTTGGACACTGCAATTGGAATAAAATAGTGCTACTGTCAAACACTGCTTTCTAATTAACATTTATTATACTGTCAGAAACACTGCACTCAGAAGAGAAGCCTAAGAGAACAGCAGTGCCAGCTTGCAGATATAGGTTTCCCCATAAAACCATTTTCTGAAAGATTTCCCTTCCATCCTATCTTAACATATAAGCTATCTTTCCTGTACTTTATTTTGGTTTTGAACTTTTGATGTTGACCTGCTTCTGCTAAGCCTATCCAAAAACAGTTCAGCAATGTTTCAGAAAATTTGTTTTACTGTAGTGATAATCAGGTTGTTTAAAACACCCACATAACAGCATTTTTTCATGTATACAACAGCTTCACCTAAAAGAAATACTAAAAGAGGGAAGCAGAACAGAGTTTTAAAAAGGCAGGTTGTTGTTAGTCACGAAGTCGTGTCTGACCCATTGTGACCCCATGGACAACATTCCTCCAGGCCCTCCTGTCCTCCACCATCCCCCGGAGTCCTCTCTAGCTTACACCAACTGCTTCAGTGACTCCATCTTGCCACCTCATTCTCTGCCATCCCCTTGTTTTGCCTTCAGTTGTTCCCAGCATTAGGCTCTTCTCCAGGGAGTCCTTCCTTCTCATTAGGTGACCAAAGTATTTGAGTTTCATCTTCAGTATCTGGCCTTCTAAAGAGCAGTCAGGGTTGATCTCCTCTAGGACTGACCGGTTTGATCGCATTGTGGTCCAAGGGACTCGCAGGAGTCTCGTCCAGCACCACAATTCAAAGGCCTCAATCCTTTTGCGCTCAGCCTTCCTTATGGTCCAGCTTTTACAGCCATACATTGTAACTGGGAAAACCATAACCTTGACTATATGCACTTTTGTTGGCAGGGTGATGTCTCTGCTTTTTAGTATGTTGTCTAGATTTGCCATAGCCTTCCTCCCCAGGAGCAAGCGTCTTTTAATTTCTTGGCTGCAGTCCCAGTCTGCGGTGATCTTGCAGCCGAGGAAAATAAACTCTGTAACTGTTGTGCTCTGAGTGGCTATCTGTGCATTCACACATTATGGGTGCTGTGCCTGGGCAGTGCCTGTTGCTGGGAGGATTAAACAGCATCAACAGTTTTTGGCGGGAACTCCGCACCTCCCTCCTCCTACTATAAAGGGGAGAAATGCCTGCCTTTTCCCCAGTCAGCTGAAGACCATCTGTTCGCCTCCAAGTGGAAGGAGTCGGTAATGAAATTGACTCATATAGAAGAAACTACTAAAGAAACAAACAGAGAAAAAAAAGGGAAGTATACATATGTATACCTCAAGACAAGAAATATTTATACAATATATATGTTGGAAAAAAACAGAGTAAATGAATGAATTAAACAAATACCCAGTCACCAACACCGAGAGGGGCTGGTGGACGGGTTGTGTGAATGCACAGATAACCACTTGAAGAACAACAGTTACAGGTGAATAACCTGCCTTTCTTCATTGTGGCTTCTGTGCATCACACATTAAGGTTGACTAGTAAGCTTACTACACCCGGAGGTGGGATGGTGTCATCACTGGAGAACTGAAGAGAGGACAGCTTGGCTGAAGGAGCAGTCCTGTCTGGCCCTGACGTCTAAGCGGTAGTGCCTTGCAAAGGTGCATGGGATGGAGCACGTCGCCACTCTGCAGATGTAGGGGAATCTCTGCTCAGAGAGCTGAGAAAGCAGCGACAGCTCTGGTGGAATGTCCCCTTGGAGTAAGAGGCAGGTCCGAGTTGGAAAGGTGATAGGCTAGTTGAATCGTCTCAACGATCCACTTTGAAAATTTCTGAGAACTGACTGGCAGGCCCCTGTCATGTTCAGAATATTTGACAAAGAGTCGTTTAGACTTTCTGAACGATTCGGGGTTGATAGAAAGCTAGGCATCAACAAACTTCCAGAGTATGCAAGGAATGTTCAATCGGTGTTGATGGAGCTGGAAAAATGGCTGGCAGAACAATGTCTTGGTTAAGATGGAAAGGAGATGCAACTTTAGGCAGGAAACCTGGATCGGTATGAAGAACTACCTTTTCCTTATGAAAAATAAGGTATGGAAGATCGATTTGGAGAACACAAAGTTCACTGGCTCATCTAGCTGAAGTAACTGCTACTAAGAAGGCAGTTTTCCACAAAAGGAGATGAAGATCAGCTGTAGCTAGAGGCTCAAAAGGAGGTTCGGTAAGAGCTTAAAGGACGACAGAGAGGCTCCAGGTTGGGACTACCATTCGGATTTGGGGGGTGGAGATTCTACAGACTCCAGAGTAATCGGCAGACAAGATAATGAGAGAAAACAGTCAAGTCTCCGATGCATCCCCTAAAATGTGAGATAGCAGCAATGTACACCTTAATGGAGGATGGTTTGAGACCTCCTTGGTGAAGTGAGAGTAAAAAGGTCTGGATATTGTTAGTGGTGGCAGACTGAGAATGGAAATGATGGGAAGTAGTGAATGAAGAGAAACGATTCCATTTGGCACTATAGAAATGATGTGTGGCCGGTCGTAGTGCAGATTGGCAAAGGTGTCAGTACTGATGATGAAAGTGGAGGCAATGCAGGTGTGGAGAGAAACAGCTCTGAGGACGTAGATGGAGAGGCCGAGTTAACCCGAGGGCGAGGGATGAGACGAATCCAAAGAAAATGTCGGTCCTGATGCAGAAGAGAGTCAATGGACAAGCCAGGCTGTCAAGTTCAGGGACCATAGATCTGGATGTTGAACAGCACCATGTTGCTGAGTGAGAAGATGAAGAACTTGAGGTAAGTGGAAGTGGAAGAAATGGTTGTGTGAAAGTTGGAGAAAAGAGGGAAAGCAGGGCTGTCGGGGCCACCAAGGAGCAACAAGAATTTGCGAGCAGCATCTTGGCAGATCTTGACAACTGTTTTTGTTACTAACGGCATTGGTGGGAAGGCATATAAGAATATGTTCTCCCACAATACTGTGAGGGCATCCCCCATCGAGTCTATCCCTATTCCTGCTCAGGAACAATACATCACGCAGACAGTGTTGTTGTGGGTCACTAACAAGTCTATGTCTGGTGTGCCCCAACACTGAAATAGGCAAAGGCAGATCTGTCAATCCAGTTCCCACTAGTGATTCAATGACATGTCTGCTCAAGGTATCGGCTTCTTTGTTGTGGGTACCCACAAGGTGCACAGCTTGTAGAACCATTTTGTGCAAAATGCACCAGATCCATATGCGAATGATAAGATTCACTAGTGGCATCGATTTTGTGCCGCCCTGTTAATTCAGATAAAAAAACAGTCACTATATTGTCGGACACTACCTGAATCTCATGACCGTGGAGGACGGGCTGAAAGTATCGGAGCACTTTGAAGACTGGCAGCGTCCTTTAAGTCCAGGGATCTGAACCAATCCTCTCTCCCGAGCAACGGAAGAATGTTCTGGGGTGTGGTCATCCAGAATTTTTTGGGTCTAATAAATTTATTGACACCGCGTAAGTCCAATATCGGGCGTAGAACACCATCATGCTTCAGTACGGTAAAGTACATAAGAGTAGAAACTGTGCAGTCCTTCAGAGTGGCTAACTTGACGGATCGCACCCTTATGAAGCAACTGAGATACCTCATCGGGGAGGCAGCTGTTATAACAGATCGGTCCGACTGGCGGAACGGTCTCAAACTCGATTTTGTATCCATGTTCTACGATAGCAAGAACCCACTCATTAGATGTGATGGACTCCCAGATGGGGAGTCGACTTTGCAGCCGA